AACATACAGCACAACTCAGCTTAACATCTAAACACAGCTCACAGCACGACCTAAACATCCTTAATTAGCAATAACATCTAACAGCACGACATATTCATCAATTTCAGCTCAACAGCATAATTCAGCATTATCAACTAGTCAGCACAGCAATATTTAACAACTACAACTCAGCTCAGCATATCTATCAGCAAATTTCTATACATAACAGCTTAACATCAAATATCATGTCTGCGCCCGGCGCGGCACAACTAGAGAGCACCAGGGCTCAGCGCGCCCAGCGCAATTTCCATTGCGTCCGACGTGCTAGGAGGCAGAGACCTCGGAGGGTCTCACACGCCTGACGTGCAAACCCTTACTCGGCACAGGGTAAGCAGAGACTTCCCCAAAGTCTCACGCCCAGCACAATATAAATTGTGCCCGGCGCCACCTCTGGCAGAGACTCCCAAGGAGTCTCCACGCCCGGCGAGACAAGGTCACGCCCAACGCCACACCAGAAATCCCTAAACAATGTCACTTACTGATATCGCGCCCAGCGCGGTCCAACCACGCCCGGTGGGGGGCCATCCAGAGGCTCATACCCTCAAGCTCGCCCGGCGCATACACCACTGTGCCCGGCAACTTGCCCAATGGGGCCCTTTGATGGTCACGCGCCTGGCGCGAAAAACTGCGCCCGGCGTGATACCCAGCAGCAACCCTCAAACTTCGAAAATCTCTTCTAAACCTGCACCAAATCAGCTTTCCAAACACATGCAATCGGCCCAAAACATCACATTTTCATCAAACAACCCAAAAGTCCCAGCTTTACCCACATGCAGCCAAAATCAAGAAAACCTCAAGATTTTCATCAAAACCCCGAAAACCCCGAAAACCCGTTTTCATCAAAACAACTCAATATTATACAAAACGACTTAAATATCATGATTCAGCATGAACATCCCACAACACAACTCATCATTAATCAGCTCAACAACGGAATTCAGCATTAGCATCATACAGTACGACTCAACGTTACATCATTAACAGCATAAACAACATACTTCACAACTCGACTTTTCATCATACAACATTAACAACATTAGTCAGCAAAGTCAACCACTTTACAACATAAACATGTCCACACCTATAGCAACTTATCAACTTAACTTCAACTAGCTTCCCTTACCTGAAGATTAGATCAAGATAGCCAAGAAGCGGAATCCCCTTTCCGAAGCTCAGCCCGAAACTTCAATCCTTCAAAAGTCAGTTTTCCATTCCAGAGCCCTTCTCTCTAAAAAACCCTCCTCCCCTCAACTGCCCATAGCCCCTATTTATAGCATTCCGGAGTGGCCAGACCGGCCTGTACCGAAACCGGAACGGCCCGTTCTGCACCTCCTCAACACGTACAAAAATTACATGTTTAACGGTCCGTTCTGAAATCAGAACGGCCCGTTCTGGAACTCATCCAGAACGGCCCGTTTTTTAACCAGAACGACCCGTACTCCCTTCCAGAACGACCCGTTCTCCCTCCGGAATGGCCCATTCTCCAACCAGAACGGCCCGTTCTCCCTCCAGAACGGCCCGTTCTCAGCTACGATTTAATGGTCATTTTAATAGCTTGGAACGGCCCGTTCCAGATTGGGAACGGCTCGTTCTGGGCTACTAAAACACCAACTTGCTACGTCACACCCAAAATGTCTCATACTAATGAAAATCACGTGTGATTTATAAATCTTTATTTCTCTTCATTGATCAAATGGTGTTAGAAATATGTCTAAATGTCTTTAGGAGAATAAATTAGTTGTGATAAGAATCTTTTATTTAGGTTTCAAATATTTAAATTTAATTTGTTTAGATTATTTTAATATTTATTTCCTTATTTTTAGAATAGGAATATTAACATTTGTTTCTTGTATTATAATTTTTCTCTATATATAGAGAACTCATAAATAAAATTAGGTTATGCTCCTCTAATTAAAAATATATATATAAAAAATACAAATATAAAATAACCCATTATAGTGAACACATGTTAACTCTAGATACTTGCATCACTATTAGTTCACATCAATAAGTATGTATGCTTTATAAACTTTTATTTCTCCTCATGATCTAATGATGGACAATAGCTAACTCTAGATACTTGCATCACTGTTAGTTCACATCAACGAAACATGCCACCTAACATCCACATCATTAAGAAGACTTTTAACACAAGGGATCTCACACTTAAATCCATCAATTTTGAGCTAATCATTTGGTCGAAACCATGGGCTTTGATATCATTGTTGGACACTAGGGGTTCACACACACACACACACACGTCTCCAAATTTATATGATATTATTCACCTTGGATTGATAAATGTCTAATTTACTTAGTTAGTTGATCATATTAAACACTTATCTAGTTAGTTTTATATGAAATCGATAAGTAAACTCCCTATGTTTGTAACTAGAATCAAAAGGATATGAAATTATATATTTTGTTGAGAGTTGATAGAATTTTGTATATTGATTTTGAGTTTTTGGTTTTGTAGGTGAAAAAGCAAGCATATTTCCAACTCAAATCCAAAATTGCTCAGCCTTGGTAAAGCATTAAGCAGTTTGAAAGCAGAGAACAAGGATTTTGGAAAACCCAAAATTGTTCAATCGTTTGAAAAGCGTTGAGCGGTTTGGGTCCAGAGAACATGAAGAATCTAACCTCAAAGGGCTCAACAAATCTCTGGGAGCTTAACCATTGATGTTTCTTCACTATGAAGAATGCTCAAATTATTCAATCGGTTGGAAAATGCTAAGCAGTTTAATCTTTCTCCTCCATACTCTATTTTATTTTGGATAACATATAAAAGGAGAAACAAAGGACAAAAAGGAACATGGCGAAAAGAAGAACAAAGCTTGAAGGATCTTGGAATCAACTAGGAATAGGGGTTCTTACAGATTTTTATTGTTCTCTTTTCCATTTTCCTTGTATCTTGGATTGGTTCTTATCATCATGAGGGGTTGATCCTTTTGTTTTGTTGGGATTAAATGTAAACCATCAACTCTTATATATTCCTTTTGATTCATTTATATATGATGTATTATTCAGTGTTAGTGATTATGGTTCTATTCTTACTGCTTGGATGAATTGATCTCTCATCTTTGATCTAGAATTTGGTTGAAAAACAATTTCAAAATCTAATCACCTATCAATTTCAAAGGCTAAGAATAGTTTTGAGATTGTTGGTTGTTCAATTTATTAACATTTAGTGCAAGGTGTCTAGCTTGGTAATTAGAGGAATCAATTATTGAATTAGGTCCCTTAGAATTTCTAAATGCAAGAAATTGGTTTATAATGATTTTCATGAACTGATCAATAACATTGGATTTTTGAGAAATAAACATGTTTTTGATTTTGATTTTTATAAAAGAAAAAAAATTTCTTGTCTTTTTAAAATTCAAAATTATTGTTTTAGTTCCTATTCATGTGTGATATTTTTTAACTACTTATGTATTTATTAGAAAGTTATTTAACCATCCTAAGTGATACTCACATTGTTTGTAATACTTTATCTACATGTGACACTTTTAAAATCTTTTATAAATCCTTGAAATAAGTACTATTATATATATATATATATATATATATATATATATATAAAAAATAAAAAATAGTGACTTTCAATTTTAGAAAGATGAAAGTCAAAGAAAAATATTTTATAAGAATCAAAACAAAAATTTGTTCATTATAGAAGAACCAAAGACAATGTTTACAAATTTTAAAAGGATGAAAAATACAGAAAATATTTTACGAAACCAAAAAATAAAACTCATTCATTTTACTAGGACTAAAAATATATTTAAGTTTATCTATCTTTTATATATCTTAGAATATTTAAAAGATTATCCTAAATAATTATTTTATAATTTATTTTATTATTTAATTAAGATTTTTGTAATTATAAGTCTATTATCCTATCCTGTAAATAGGAATATTATCCGCTATATGTTTTGTATTCGTAACATTAAGTCTTTATAAAACAATCTTCATTGTACTATGTAAAGTCAAGACTAACATATTAAGCATTCCTTGCATGTATATTTTTTTTGCTCTTTTAAGAGAACCATTAAAGCTTAAATTAAGTTAGAGATGTATTTCAATTTTATTTAATGATTCAAAATATTTTTATGAAACTTTAAATATACAAAATATCTTTTTGACATCTTTAAAATTTTTCAAATTTGGTTTTAGTCTTTAAAAAAATTATTTTATTTTAGTCTTTCTAATTTGGAGATGCACCACTTTTAATCTTCATCATTAAAATTATTTATAATATAAATATAAAAATACATTAAATAAAAAATATAGTACATCTTTTTAAAATTTGTTAATAATGTTATTTGTTGAATGTAATGAAATATATTATTTTTAATTAAATCATGTACCAAAATTTAAAAGTTCATACCAATGAGTCCTTAATTTTAGTAGTCCTAGCCTATAAATAAGATATGAGGACAATTAAATAATTAAGTTTCTTAACAAAAATTAGTCATGAAAAAATATAAATATATATCATATATATATATATATATATGTGTGTGTGTTTATATATAAAGAGTTGATATTTATAATTTGGGTTAGCATATCGAGGGTGGACATTTTGATCCCAACCTCAAAATCCATATGAATATATGCAATGGAAGAGAAGTATTGATGATAGTCACACCATGAGAGCCTAGGGTAGTAAATTTAATAGCCGAACTCAAAGGCACATGAACATTAAGTGTAGTAATAAGAAGGAAATGGAAGTGCAAAGTTTAGGGTGCTGCATTTATGCTACCCCACAATACTTGTGCGTATGTGGCAAGGCTTCACGTAAAAGAAGCACTTTTAACTCTTTCGTTTTAAATTCTTACTGCTTTCTCCTTCTTCCATGGCACAAGTAAAGCTCGACCACCCTCTTTCATGTGAACTCCTCTTACTCTTGTCACACTCTCCTCTTGCCTGTGAACTGCTTCAATTCCATTTCCACACACACCCTTTGTTGCTTAGTTATATATATACACACCTTCCTTTCCTCCTCCCTTCACCGCTCTACGTGATCTCAAATATATTACCAACACTCACAAAATATATAATGAGGACCACTTCTCTCTACGCTGCTGCTGCATTTCTCCTTCTTTTGCTCTGTGTTCCACAAATCATCTCGGCAAGGCACATAAACCCCTCACGTTTGCGTAAGTATCAAATTCTTAATTTTAGATACTCAAAAAATTATCGTAATTCATAGGATTAAATACCAGTTTATTTAGATAAATTTCTTTAAAACCATTTTTAGAAAGAAAAAAAAAAAGAAATCAAAGATAATAAGAAAAAAAATGAGAAAAGTTATAAAAATTAACTTATACATAAATTAAAAATAAATTTTTAAAAAATAATATGAATTTTTTTTTTACAAATTGACTTATGCATAAGTCAATATTAATTTAAGAAAGAGTTTAATTTATTTTTTTTCTTTTAAAAATACTTTTCGAGAAACTTATTTAAACAAATTTTATGTAGTTAACTTACGTGCATAATTAATCATGTGGATGGACCCTTAATATGTGTGTGCTCTTTAATGTCTTTAGATACATAATTATGAAAGAAAAAGAAAAGCTTAGAACGTAAATTGCCCATTTATATGAATTCAAGAATGTTATTTTGATATATTTTTAGTATAAAAACTTTTACATTTTTAATCAATTTAAATCATTCTACATTTTATAAAAAAAGGACAATTTCCAATCAATAATAGCCAATGATTATAAAATGTAATTGTATTTAATTAAACCTTAAAATTTATTGAAAACTCAGACACCTTATTTAATAAATTTACTTCACTTATAGTTTTATGATTTTCATTGAATTTAAGAAGTAAAAGAGTGGTTAAAGAAAAATGTGTTGTTATGAGTGTTTATTATTGAATGAATATGTTGTTGATGTGAATTAAGTAGTAAATGGGGATGCAGATGGAGGAGAGGAAAAGAGAAAAGATGGAAAAGAAATGTTGTATTGGGAAGGAAGAGTGGAGACAGTGGAAGTAGCAGGGTCGAGGTTGCCGGATTGTTCGCATGCGTGTGGGTCATGCTCGCCATGCAGGTTGGTGATGGTCAGTTTCGTTTGTGCATCCCTTGCGGAGGCTGAGTCATGTCCAATGGCTTACAGGTGCATGTGCCATAACAAGTCTTACCCTGTTCCATAATCTCTCTCTCTCTCTCTCTCTCATCATTCTAACCCCTTTGTAACATATATAGTGCCCATTTTCCGTTCTTGCTTCTTCGCCTTTGTAAACACTCATTTCTAGTTATAAACCTGCTTTTCGCCACACAAGTTTTCTTATACTCTTGTTACTTGTTACTTGGTTTTTAAGAAAGTAATGGTTAGTGTTCAGATTTACTCTCTCTCTCTCTTATTATTATTATTTTTAATAAGACCTCCTACTCTAGATTTGAATATAATAAGCTAATTAATAAAGTCAGTTTTTTTTTTTATATAATAAAGAAGTCTAATTTATTTTATTGGGTCAGCTCCTCATTTTCATCGGGTTAGCTTCAAAAAATGTAAAATTAGTGGTATTTTTTATTAAAAAAATATAATATAGATTGATTTTTATTAAAAAAAAACAATACTTTTAGTATGAGTCGTATAAAAATAATTAAATGAAGTAAAAGAAAATAATAATCGTGAATTCCATGCTCGATTGTTGTCAATACAAGAAACCTGACACATTCACGACCTCAAATTTATATACTGATCTACTTGGGCTTGGGCTGTATTATGAATTCTACAACATTCCAAGCTACCTGCAAAACAAAATAGGCCCATTGATCGATGGAAGCCCAGAATCCAACACTACATACAAATACGGCTTTTAGTATTACATCAGAATCTTGGACCTAAATCATAAAGTTTTGTGTTAGAATACGAGCCATGTGTTGTGAAGTGCAATATGTTCCACATACCTCCTTTTTTTCTTCTTCTCATAAATACACTCTTTTTTTTATTTAAAAAATTCTTAAAATATTTTTAATCTATTTTCCTTCTAGTTTTTTTAATTTTATACCTTCAATATTCAATTTAGCATTTCTTCTTTTTCATACACCTCTTTCTCTTTCTCTTTCAATTTTCACATGTATCTCTTTGTTTCCTCCCACCACTCACATATTTCAGTAAATAATTCTAATTCTTTCAATTTTCACATTATCCTCTTTCCCATTTCAATTTTCCCACACATTGAGGTGCAAAATTAGTGCGTAACAATTATCCTCTTTCCCTTTTCAATTTTCCCACACATTGAGGTGCAAAATTAGTGCGTAACAATGTTGTAGAGTATGTGATTTCCTTGATGGTGTCGAAGGTGCTATGTAAGACGCACATTTTTTCTTCAAGCACTTCCTTTCCTTTCACGTGCATTCCCTTTCTCCACTTACTTTACATTCACTTGTTTTCATTGATGTATGTAAAAATTGAAAAGAGAAAGAGGGTAATGTGATAAAAATAAAAAATAATAGTACTCAAAAGAAAAATATAATATTTTAGAAAATATATATAAGCATGACAGTAGATAACTAGACATACTTTCTGAAAGCACAATATTAAATTTAGTGTTCTCAAAAATACTTCTAGAACATTAAAGGAAATGCGTTTTTTTATATTTTCATAAAGTACTTTTTGAAATACTAAATTTATTGTTTTAAAAAGAACTTTTAAAAATTATGTAAAAAAATAGACTTCTGAAAGGTACTTCTTAAAATACTAATTTTCTTATTTCTGAAAGTACTTTTTGTAACACAAAAAACAAACTTCCAGAAACATGGTTAAGTAACTAGACAAAAAGAAGGGATAATTGGGATAAGGATGACAAAGAGAAGGAACATTAGATTCCTTTGAATGCTCTAAGGTGACATATTCTTAGAGATATGACCAATGCCAATTTTTTCACTTTTTCTACCACAACGGGTTGACAAATAGGGTTAAAGAAGTCAACATATTACAAGTTTTATAAGACATTTGGCCATGACATAGAGAAATGTTTTGTTTTTATCAAGCAAATTAAATGCTTCATAAAGGAAGGACATTTATCAAATATTGTAAAGGGGAGGTATTCGAGATAAATTGGTTATAGGGAGAAAAAAATGAGGAATGATCGAGATGGTAGAGATCCACTCATGCCTCCTCCCTCGGTCAAAGGGACATCAAGTCACCAATAAACAATATATTGAGACTTTAACATGATTTCTTGAGACTTTGTAGGGGGAGAGATCATGTTGACAGTGAGAAAATAGATATGCTCGATCAATAATGAAAATGGTGGAAAAAAGAGGGAGTCATCATCCTGATGTCACTTTCTTGGATGGCAACTATGATGGAGTGGCACCTCATGAAGATGATCCAATCCTCATTTTAGCAATTTTGATGGGTTTTAATGTAAAGCGCATTTTGGTGGACCAAGGTAGTTCAACATACATGTTGTACTAGGATGATTTTATAATATTGAAGATCCTAAAATACCTCTTTATGCCATATACATGAGTTTTGGTTGCATTCACAAGTGAGCAAATCATAGTTTGGGGTTATGCGGACTTAGAAAAACCACATATGGTGATGGCAAGAAGGCGAAGACATTATTGGTACAATACTTGGTGGTGGATTCCCCATCCTTATACAATATTCTTCTTGAGAGGTCAACTTTGGAAAATTAGGTGCATTGGTGTCAATTGCTCATCTAAAAGTTAAATATCATGTGGAGGACGGTTCAATAAGGGTGCTTTATGTTGACCAATAGGTGGAAAAAAAATGTTAGGAGAATAACATGCAAGCGAGAAGGAGTGTTCACACATAACTTTCAGTAATATCATTTTGTAGAAACTAACACTAGGTTTTGAAAGCTTGTGTTTTATTATTTAGTACTTCCGTCAAGTTTCGTTAAATTTTTTTGTCAATGAAGGAAGCCTTGTGTTTTCAATTTTCACTTCAAGTCAATGACATTTTTATCTTAATGAACTTGCAAATTGTAATATTCTATATTTGGATGACAACTATGTAAGCACCGAAGAATCAACGAGTATAGGACGACTTGCAACACAATTACAATCGACCACTGTGATAAGAAATGACTCGAAGAACTAGCAAGTAGGACCGCTTGCAACAAGATTGCAATTGACCATCTCGATTAAAAGCGACTCAAAGAATCATTAAGTAGAAGTTCTTGTAACACAATTGCAATTGGTCATTGCGATAAGAAGTGACTTGAAGAATTGATAGGTAGCACCACTTGCCAGATGATTGCATTTGGAGAAAGGGGGTGAATGAAAAAAAATAACCTTTTTAGGAAAAAAAAAAAGAAGAAGAAGATGTATTTAGAGTTTTTTCAATGTATTTGTAACACCCCAATTTTCATACTTTTTTAGGGTAATTCAGTAATTTTTTAGGGGTGATTTAGTAGCCTAGAACGGGTCGTTCCAAACTACTCAAAAGAACTATTTTTGGGTAGCCCAGAACGGGCTATTCCAAAATTGGAATGGGTCGTTTTAGACCACCAAAATAGCCTATATCCCTAAATGGGAACGGGTCGTTCCAATTTGGGAACGAGCCGTTCCAATTTGGGAACGCGCCATTCTAAAGATGGGAACGCGTCGTTCCATATGTGGCTGTTGTAGGTTAAATTGTAACCCCAGAACGGGTCGTTCTGGTTTGAGAACGGGTCGTTTTGGGAGTGAATTTTACACATGGCGTGAGAGTCCAGAACGGGCCGTTCCGGATTTGGAATGGGCCATTCTGGAGACACCTGATACCCATAAATAGAGCACCCTGGCACTCCCAAAAGTACACTTTTTACTTCTCTCTTCTTTTCTTCTTTGCTCTCTTCTTTTCCTTCTATACTCTCTGAAGACCGAGGGGCACTCAAAGGAGGAGACCAAGGAGAATTTTGTTTTAGTTTCAGCTACTATTTATCCAGGTACGGGGGAAAAGAAAATTATTTATATGTAGAGTTACATGAGGAAATTGGGTAGAGGAGAATCCCTTAGGATTATGGGTAATTTTATAATTATTTCTGTTTGAGGAATTGATGATCCCATTAGATTCTGTATGTATTGAGGATTAGAAATATATATTCAATTTGTAAGAATGATGATCTGGGAGAGAGAACGAAATTGTAGAAAACTGCCTATAAGTTAATTGAGGGTTTTACTATCTGATTTAATATTGTATTAAATTGGTGAATTAATTGAGTTTTATATTAATAAATGTTATATTATTGTTATAGATGTATCTTGATGGTGAATTGCTTGAGGAATATGTGGATCATTGTATTGTGTGGATTTATTGCATGTGACATGAAATTGAGTTATGAGATGGAATGTTGTATTGAATGTGAATATGAATGTGATTGTGGTTCCTCACACATATGACCAGGAATGAGAAGACCCCTGGATAAGTGATGCTACAGGGATAGCATGCCCCTGGCATAATGTGGGATGAGTGAGACAATTAACATGTATTACTTATGTCAGATGTGACAGCCTTGACATAGGTTAATTACAAGAGATTATGTGAATTGTAATGTGATTGTGGTTCCTCACACTAATGACCAAGGATGAGACGAACCTTGAGTAAGTGATGCAACAAGGACGAGCATGCCCCTGGCATGGTGTGGGATGAGTGAGGCAATTAACCCGTATCACTTGTGTCAAATGTGGCGTGGCCTTGACATAGTGTTAATTGTAAGATTTGTGTGGATTGTGATGGATTGGTGTAAATGTGAATATTTTATTAAATAATGAGTTATGATTATGTTGTGTTTTTCCTTATGTGCTTTTCATATAGATGTTTTCTTTTCTTACCATACAAATTGTGGATGTTTTAAGTGAGGAAGATCCGGCTACGAGTAGCATCTAGAATGCCAACAGTTAAATTATGGCTATGCTCTGATATTGTGACATCGGGACGGAAGATTTCTAGGACATAATTTTTATATGGATTTGGAATTGTAATTATTATTATTTTTGAAACAATTTGTAAACTCTTGTGTTTCATTTTTTTGAACTTTTATTATTGTGGATATCGAAGAACATTTACAAAGTTTTTATGTGAACCTTTTTTACCAATGTTGAAAAATTTATTTTATAACGTTGCATTATTCCGATATATGAATTGAGGTAGTAAAAGTGTCACAGTATTATTTTATATATTTTGGAATTTTGTATTTATAGTTTTTTATTGTATTATTTTGTATATTTTAGATTTTTTTAAAAGAGGAAAAGAGTTGTATTTAGAGTTTTTTTTTTTTGGTTTTCGTTTCTCAAAATATCTTCACAT